AACAACAATGACTTATATGGTCAAAGGCTATGGTTAATTGCTCATTTATTATTTTCCAGGAGATGTGACTTTAGAAAAGTTTGTCAATGGCATAGAAAATGATCATGATCTTCTGGAGACTATTTCCAAGAGCTTCGATCTCTCCAATTCCAACGTACTGAAAGTAATTTGTAATTGTAATCAGCCAGATACGAAAGAGGCCTCTTCCAAATAACATGACAAAGCTTGTCTAGAGAAGGTGAAAGTGGAGTGGCTGTGAGAATGCCTTTCTCAGGTTTCAATGAGCACAAACCTTTCATTAAAGAAATGAGATTTTCTTTATGTTATTACAATTGCTATAGGTTTATGTGTATAGCACTTATCTTAAATCCAGCAGAAACTTCCATACGGAGTCTAGATAGCTGAGTTTTTTGTTATTATTGTTTGTACATTAGTGTTCTCTCTACAGTTTAGAATATAATGATGAAACATGGGAACTATCTTCATATTCATCACACCCTAATTATGCTTTCAGATTTGAACTTGAGTTAAAATCACGCAACTGGAAAACTACAGAGGCGGACTGTCCCTGTCTCTGATCACAGCTATGGAGATGGATAACGGTATAGATGGAGTAATTCCTCCTATTTATCAGTTCAAAATAGAGCTTACATGTTCATTTCCTTGCATACCTAAATCACTCTGCATCTTGAAATAGAACTATGTTATCCGGGAAGTATCTCCACAGTTTAGCATTCTTCTCATATTAAATATGCATTTAGTAAATGTGTTTGCTGCCTTTTCACTCTCGTTGCATGTGTATTTTATAAATGACTCAGTCCTGGTCTATTTGACAAAAATTTTTCCCCTTGTTTTCTCATTCCTTACTCTGAATGTTGTCATGAATTAATAAAATGTTCTCCTCCAAAGCTATGTAGTAGGAGAAAACTTCAGGCTGGGCAATGAGAATGTTTCCATCTGATTTGTTATAAATCTGAGTCCAGTTGTGCATGAAAATGCAATGCATCATCTGTAATTATTATGCCAGTTGGAGGCTTGACCAGAGTAGCAGACAGCCAGGCTATGCAACAACAAGCACTTGACATTTTAAACGATCCTGACATTATAACTCTGACATTACATTTTTTATATCCTTTCCAAAAAATGAAATGATGAATGGAATTTCTTGATGGGTTAGAACTTTTTAAGTTTTGGGTTCTATATCACAGGCCCATTAGTACATCCGTCAATGCAAGGATTTCTCATAGAACCACAGTGGAGGGTGAAGAGCATTTGTGAACCATCTTTATGTTCAACACATCCTAATTATGCTTTCATATTTGAATTTGAATTAAAATCACACAAGTGGAAAACTACAGAGGTGGACTGTCCCTGTCTCTGATCACAGCTATGGATATAGATAAAGGTATAGATGGAGGAATAACTCGGGTATAAATGTACGTAAAAAAAAAAAAAATATGGATTCATGTATCTTTATAAGTGTACATGAAAGTAGAGATGTTTTATGACCAAAAGATTTTGACAAAAACACATACAATAGACTATGAATTGAATAGTGCCCCCCCAAAAAATTATGTTGAAGTCCTAACCCCTATGCCTGTGAATGTGCCCTTCTCTGGAAGTAGAATCTTTGAATATTTTATCAGTTAATAGGAGGTCATAACGGAGTAGGGAGGGTCCTAATTCCATCCAGTGGTATCCTATAAATAAAGAATGGGGGCACAAAGAGAGGGAGAAAGGACATTATGTGATGCTGCAGCTGCGAGCCAAGGCACTTGGAGTTAACAGTAGCCAGGAGAGAATTATGGGACAGATTCTTTCTCGAAACCTCAGAAAACCAAAACCCAAAACTACAGAACTGTGAAAAAATAAATTTTTCTTCTTATAAGCCACTCAGTTTATGATATTTTGATATAGCAACCTTAGAGAACAATACCCAATGTAAAATAAAACATGTTTAAATAAAATTATCACAGATGAAGTAAAGTAAGGAAAAGCATTACAGCCATCATGGCACAAAGTTCTGTTCCTTTACTAAAGATACTCCACCCATTGGACTTTGCACTTCCTAACAGTATAAGTGAAAAGGGAAACAAGACTAAAAGAGTGAATATCAGCAAGGTAAATGGCCCTACAGAATTGTGCTGTCAGATGACACATGCCTTTAAACTGTAATGTCTTCCATGCCTTGTGAAGCATTTGCAAGTACAAATTATTAGGATAAGGCTGAAGATAACTATTTTTTCTTGTGGCCTGACCTCTCTTGGTGTGTCTGAAATTCTTTGGAGAAGAGGCAACAGATCGAAAGAAGCGGTCGCTGTTGCCAAGGTACAACCAAGGTTCCCCATCTTGTCGTTCACTTACATTTCCAGCTAGTGTTTTCTCCCCTGGTCTAGCTATTTTTACTTTTGAGGGAAATATTTTCACCTTAGATATTATATCCTTGGCCACCTCATGGTTTTTGTCAGGGTCTAGGAAAACAGAAACCATACTAGTCATTTTAACAGGAAGAATTTTTATATAAGGAGTAGGTTAAAAACATATTGGAGGACTAAGAAAGCAAAGATAGGACACTGAAGTAACACAGAAATAGTACTGGTAGAAATAAGCTGCCACCCCTAGGCTGGGCAAACAGTGGAAAGAGGTGAGATTTATTAGAATGTAGAAGCTAGGAAGAAGGAACTAGGACTCAATTTTCAGTGGCAAGGGAGGGCATGATGTGGCTGATACTAGGAATGTGGAAAGAAAAATTGGAATCAACTGTCCCTGCCAGAATAAGGCCCCTGCAGAGAAGAGCATGACAGGAATAGGAAGGAATCTGTCAGTTTTCCCCTAGGAGCCCCTATTGGCTGTGCCTAACAGGGAGCCAGCTGGCAGAGGAGAAAGGTAGTCAACAGAGTCCCTCTCCAGCATCACCATCAAAATAGAGAAAGGATGAGATTGTTGTTGAGTTTAGAGCCTAATTACCAGCACAGCTGGAGTAGGTAGGGTGAGCCAAACAGAAACCTTAAGAACACGCTTACCACTCATATGTACCTTATCAAGAGCATTTAAGCTCTGCTTCCCCTGACGTTCAACCTTCCACTTTGTGCTTTTACCTCTGTTGTTCTCATTTGATTTTCCCAAGTTCCAGTCACCCTATATTGCCTCATACCTGGATTCTCTCTCTGTCTATACCCTTTAGAATCTTAACTAGTGTATATAGTTTGCCCAGGTTTGGTTTCAGTTTTTCCCTGGATGCTGCTTTTTGAATTTCTCAGCTGTGTTTCATGCATTGTCACCCGAGATCAAGCAGGTCTACCTTTCCACATGCTGACCTCTAGGGCTTACAGAGGAGAAGCAAAATGAGTAATGGCTTCTCTTTCCAGAGAATGACTTTGTCCTATTTGTATGGAGGGTAAGCAGGTCCTACAGAGTACACTCTGGTGGGCTTCTTAGGAAAATAGTTTGGTGGGCAAGGTGCATTGTAAGATATAAGTTGCTTGTCATGTAAAAACAAAGAAATGATAAAATAATATATACTTCATAGTTTTGCTGTGGTGAAATGATCTCATCATGGAGCTATTAGGATTAGGAGAGAAGATAAGCCTGAAATTCAAATGTGAAAGGATTTAGATTAGTTCATGGTCATATGAAATGGAAAGGAAAAAAAAAAAAAAAAGAACGACATATTCTTTCCTTCAAGTCTCCATCTCTTGAGGACATAACCACCCAAAGTCATGTTCATGCTGTCCATTGCAATTTAACATCATGATGCTGAGTCCAAGGAAATAGTCCTAAACTAAACCAAACTCACTGCCATCGAGTTGGTTCCAACTCATAGCAACCCAAATTGGGTTTCAGAAGTAGTAAATCTTTATGGAAGTAGCTTGCCCTTTCTTCCATGGAGCAGCTGGTGGGTTTGAACTCCCAGCCTCATGGTTAGCAGTCAAATGCCTTAGGCAATGCAACACCAGCACTCCTTAGTCTTAATCTACATCTCCAATCTAAACTTAGTCCTAATCTACATATCAAAAAAACCTGTTGTTGTCTTATCAATTTCAACTCGTAGTGATGCCATCTGTTGCAAAGTAGAACTGTTCCATAGAGTTTTGTTGGTTGTAAACGTTACAGAAGCAGATCGCCAGATCTTTCTTCTTTGGTGCCATTGGGTAGGTACAAACCTTCAACCTTTAGGTTAATAGTCAAGTGCAAACCATTTGCACCACCTAGGGACCTCATATCAAGTCATGATATTTTACTAAACCAAATATTTTAGTCAATATGTTTCTCCTTCAAACAACAAGCTTTAAGCAATGCCATCATTGTCATCCTTCTGCCAATAACTTAAAAAAAAAAATGCAATTTTATTCTGTCTGTGTCTATTCTATGTGTTTCCCCCTATAAGTTTTACAATAAAATTTCAAGTAAGGGATTCCATGATAAATAGGACCAGGTATATGAAAAACTTCAATAACCTTAATTAATTTACTTTAGTGCTCCAGAGCTTTGTAAGCATCTAATGAGACTCGAGATTTTCCATAGGGCTTTGAATCAGTTTTAAATAGTTCACTCATGGACAATGAAGTGAAATAGACCTGAATTTTTTTTAAATTTGGGTGATCCAGAATGCTAACAGAAGCAGGAAACATTATGGGTTGAACACCTGAAATGGAAGATTAAAAAGAGGTGTAGTGAGCCCTTTCAGTAGCCTGATGTGTGACATGGGATTATTGCCAGGACTGCAGAGAGTGATACACACTCAAGCAGTGCAGTAGGACACCATCTTTGAGTCAGCACCATTGTTTTCAACTCAGCCTTTTGAGAGATTTGATTGCTATGCAATGTGTGTGCTGCACTTGTTTTCTAAGAGGCAGCTTAAGTTTCTAGAAGGGATTCAATCCATAATTTTTCCCGTTTCAGTTAAGTTATTGTTCTGGTCCACCCACATTTTAAAATTTGGATCCATTCCAGTGTTGCTCGTCAGTCATGATTAAACTGAGCTGAACCGGTTTAAAGTCCTGATTTTCCAACACATTTTCCTTTTTTCTATAATTCCCTGATGATTTGAAGAAAAGGTGCTGTATTTTAAAAAGAGAGAAATACAGGGGAAGACATGTATATGGCCACTAATTTTTACCAGTATAAAAATGATTATACATTCAAACAAACAAAACACTAAAATCATGACACATCTCCCTATACACTTAAAAGAAGCACCTGGAAGCATATGGTTTGCCCCCAAAATATAGAGAAAGAAAGGAAGAGACAAGGGAAAAA